AGAGAGAGAGAGACAGAGAGAGACAGAGAGAGACAGAGAGAGAGAGAGGCAGAGAGAGAGGCAGAGAGAGAGGCAGAGAGAGAGAGAGAGAGAGAGAGAGAGAGACACAGAGAGGGAGAGAGAGAGAGAGAGTGAAAGAAGAGGAGAGGGGGGGGTTAGGTCGCGTAAGTATGCTGGCACGCGTGGTCTAAACTCCACCGACCTCGGACACGGCGATCCGGGCCATGCCATCCAACAGAACCAGCCGCTTCGTGTATAGCCACTCTACGGCGTCGCTGGCGTTGCTGTACAGAATTTTCTGTGTGGGCAGGCAGTAAATAGCAGAATGGCGTAAACAAACGCCAAATATATACTTATATACATATGTAGATATGCGTGAGAACAGATGCTCCAACTCGCCACACAGCCGTCAGCGCCCGATACCCCTCCCTCTAGACCTGGACTCGCGAAAGCATGGAAGATGCGTTAGATTCAACAAGGCAAGGTGAAAGCGTTACCATCCATGTTTGACGATCCGCCGGAGAGTGGAAAAGGACGCACTCCGCTTCGCGCCCGTCCCTACCCGCCCGCCCGGACTCCTGGGAGTACTGCCCTGCGCTCGCTGGGATCGAGTAGTCGTTGCACACTTCACTTCGGCAGGGGAGTAGTGTGGTTGCACACGATGCAGCGGGGATTCGATTTGGCATGCGCATTAGCAGCACAGACAGGTGTTGCGCCTCCCAGAGGGCCAGGAATGACTTTCAACCTTCACTTTGGCAAGACGCTCCGCAGTTCGTCACACGCAGTCGTTGCTAAAAGAGACAAGAGGTTTAACCAACCTTGTCCAGTCCGAGCGGTACATGAGTTTTTCATTGTCGCGAAGTCCGTGGGTTGGAATAGTCTTGGTCTATGCGTGAGGGGTGCCTGTTTCCCGAGATCCAGGGAGATGGCTCGAGGGGGACGTCACAGTGGACCGCAGCTCGAATGACAGCGGCCCTGCAAAGTCATATGCGGGAAGGACCGCTTGAACGACCACCACGGCTTGTAACTAGTCTATGCACTGCTTAAGGGTAGGAGGAGCCGTTAGCCAGTCCCTCGCGGGGACGGCCGTAGAAGCCCTTATGGAGCTAGTGGGGTGGAAGACGAGAAGGATGGCCCAGCGATACGTAGGCACCCTGATACACGGGGGGGCCTCCTCCGCTAAGCGTCCGCGAGATCCGAACCGGAGGGAGCAGGAGCAGCGGGATATCCAAGCAGTGGATTTGCCCTTGCAGGAAGACTTCGCGGAGACGTTTGCGTTCGGAAAAATAAGGTCGAAATCATGGAAACGCGAAGGGGTTCTGCAGATAGATGAGAACAGATTGCCTGAGATTTGGAGCGAGCACCACTCGTGACAAGCCTTCCCAACCCTAACGGAGGGAGGGTACGGTAGGAAGACAGCCGTCGCCGCCCACCCAACTATGCTAGGTATTTGATTTGACTGGGGTGAGTTTTCTGAGCGACTGCCGCGTTGATTGTTGATTGGTCCCAAGCCCAGTGCTGCTGTACAAGCACGGCTGACCCAGTTGACAGGATTGGATAGATGGTTAAGTCGTTTTATTAGGTCGTCCCACGTAGACAAGCGCACAGAAGAGAGTGGCAGCGGGGGGCAAGCTCCCGTGCCGCACACCAGTAACCAGTCGCAATAAATCCACCGCCGTAAAGATGCATCCATAACTCGGAACACATCACAGCTTGCTAAAGATACGCAGGGATTACCCCGAAGATCCGCACCCGCTGGGCGGTCGATTGCAGTCGCACAATTCCATAGCTCCTGATGAGTCCTACAGCAGTAGCTCTCGTGAGGATTACATAATCCATAATCCACGTCACGAACACCCTCCCTGATTCTGTACATCGTCACTCATGCTTGTAAAACCAAGTATCCGGGTACTCATAAAAAACTCCAAAGAAAAACAAAATAAACGAAGGAAAACCCGCCAACGGATCAAAACCCTCCGTCTCCAAGGTCACTCTGCTGATTGACTTGTCAACACAAATCTACACAGCTTCACCAAATTGCAAACCTACTCGTTCACAATTATCAGGACATTTTTACTACTCCTTATCAAGTAGCCCCCTCCCAGCAACTGATCCTCACTGTATCAAGTTGCCGTAAGCACCGGGGCGCGTCTACAGCCCCAAGCACCAATCAATGTCAAATCGTCGTGGAGAAGCAAAAGATCCAACGCTACATCGTTCTCGCAACGGAAAGGCGTAAATCGGTGCTACATCGCTCCCAAATGGCATCTAAAAGGGCGATCAACCAAGCGGAAGATCAAGCAGTATCCCAACGCAGTTCATCAGCCAACTTGCTGGTACTCCTACGGGAGACACTGGTGACAGACAATTTCACTACTCCTTTTTCAAGTAGCCCCCTCCCAGCAACAGATCCCTACTGTATCATGCTGCTGTCAGCGCCGGGGCGCGCCCACAGCCCCAAACACCAAAGTCGATCCATAACAGAAGAGAAATCCACGCTTCATCATTGCCATCGTTGGAACAACATGTAAAAAGGGCAATCAATCACATCGCAGGGAAGGGTGCCCCCCTCGACCTGTACAGCAATGAAAGATCAAGCAGCGCCTATCAAAAGAACAGCTCATCAACCAACTTGTTGGTACCTGTATATACTGTTAACAGACGCTGGTCGTCGAGTCAATCCCAAATCGACACGGCAGAAATTGCAAACCTACGCGTTCACAAGATCGGACATTTGTACTACTCCTTATCAAGTAGCCCCCTCCCAGCAACTGATCCTCATTGTATACAGTTGTATCAAGCTGCCGTAGGCACTGAGGCACGTCTACAACCCCGAGCACCATTTTTGCCGATCTATCACATCGGAACAATATTTTAAGAGGGTAATCAACCAAAACGCAGGGAGGAGTGCCCCCCTCGACCTGAGCAGAAGTGGAAGATCAAAGCAGTGTCTCAATCACAAACAGCTCATCAACCTACTCGTTGGTATCTGCACAAAATGAGAGACGCTGGTCGCCATTCATCACTCAGGAGGGGTCGTACGTCATCCCTCCCTGATTTCAGGCAAATAACTCAACCACAAGTCGATAAACAACGGAAATGCGTCAACTTTCGCACACCGGAACAACTCGGGCTGAAAAACATTTCCGATTATCATCCATCAAATTGGCGTGATCCGCGGTGCCCCGCATATCATCAATCCTCAAAATGAGACAACAACAGGATGCCACACCATCATCAAATATTCATCATGCAAGGACGCCTCTGCATCAATCTACAAGATTATCTACTGAGATGAGCATGGTAGACTGAACGAGCAACGTCGAGTTTCGTGGATTGCCTGCGTGTCGGCTCAACACACAAAAGAAAAACAACACACCAACAAGAAAAGAATCCCACAACCATATTCCGTCAGCCACATCACCGAATCCGACTCTTCACAGAAAAAAGGCCGCCGACCGAAAAACGCGAAGGGGGGAGGTACGTTGTTGGTGCACAAGGCGGGAACAGATCGAGATATCATCAGAGGGCAGAGCATGCGACGTCCAACTCGTCGACGTCCAACTCGACTGCACACACTGCAGTCGCGCCGCCCTTCTCATATTTCGATGGACAGTACTTCACGTTGTGTCCTTTCCCTCCGCACTTCTGGCAACGCTGCTCGGGGCATTCACTCACATAGTGGTCCCCATCACAGATGTAGCATTTGACGGAGTTTTTGCCGTTCGCCAAGCACGCCTCTTCATCCCCCCCACGGCCCAGTTTCGACCGCCGTTTCCCTTTCCCCTTCGCCGCTACTGCTACGAAAGCATGTTGCGCTCGCCTGTCACTCTTCCCGTTCGTCTCCTCTACCTTCAGTTGACCAGACCTGGCACGCAACACCCTCAAAATCTCCTCTTCATCGAGGGTTTTCTGAGCAAGCAATTGCTGCTTCTGGACATCAAAGTCGATCGAGAGGCCGTCGAGGAATCGCGTATAAACGAGCATTTTGGGGATGGGCTGGTCGAATGCAATCTCTAGGCTGGTCACAATGGACTTGAATTCCTGAAAGAAAACGGGAGGGTCCTGCTTCTTCTCTTGTCGGGCGCTGAAAAACTTTCCCATCAGGGAGATCTGCTCACCCCCAGTCAACGGGGAAAAAGTCTCTACCAACGCACGCCATGCTGCTGAGGGCCCCTTACAACCGAACACCATCATCTTGGTGGTGTTGTCCGAGATCGCTCCTGTTAACATACCCCACAGGTCTCGGTACATCGATATCTCATCAAACTTCACCCCCTGCCCTACCATGCCTTCATCATCTACCCCTTGGACCACGATGTCTCTACTGTCAGTCAAAGCACGAGTCATCCCGCAAGTTTGCACCTGCGTGGTAAATTCGTTCTGAAACATCGGCCAGTTTTTTTCGTGGCCGTCGAAGTTCAACTGCTTCAGGCGTGGGATTCGAGCGTGGGAGGTCGTGGTGTACCGTGCCCTGTGCTCACTGTTCATTCCATCCCGCGAGACGTTCCCCTCAGACGGCGTTGATTCTTGAGGCACCGGCCCCAGCAGTCCTCCTCTCGCTCCCTCGACTCCTCGTCCAGTGTTCGGCGCCTGGTCCTCCCGACCGGCGCCAGGAGAGGCGTGCATCCCCTCCCGCGACTCTCCTCCGCCACCCGCAGCCGTACCTGCGGCGGGCGGTGTCTCGGGCACTAACCGAGACAGGGCGTCCATGAATCCTTCCATCTTCTCTGCCATCATCTTCTCCAGTCTGGTGCTGGCGTCGCCGACGGCTTCGTCGATAGCCGTCTTGACCTCATCACGAGTAGGGGCGGTCCCGCCCGTGCCAGGAACTCCAGCTTCTCCTGTCGACATCTGTCGGCCTCACTAGGAAATGAAGATAACCGTTGCTCTAGAGTGTTGATTGGTCCCAAGCCCAGTGCTGCTGTACAAGCACGGCTGACCCAGTTGACAGGATTGGATAGATGATTAAGTCGTTTTATTAGGTCGTCCCACGTAGACAAGCGCACAGAAGAGAGTGGCAGCGGGGGGCAAGCTCCCGTGCCGCACACCAGTAACCAGTCGCAATAAATCCACCGCCGTAAAGATGCATCCATAACTCGGAACACATCACAGCTTGCTAAAGATACGCAGGGATTACCCCGAAGATCCGCACCCGCAGGGCGGTCGATTGCAGTCGCACAATTCCATAGCTCCAAACCACATATGAGTACTACAGCAGTAGCTCTCGTGAGGATTACATAATCCATAATCCACGTCACGAACATTGATGACACGGAGGGTGTCAACGCGGAGGTAGTAACCCTGGGTGGAGTCTACGGGCTTTTCGTAGCCGGGGGCCTCGTTTCATCTCAAACTCTAGACTATATCGTTGACAACTATCCCGCAGGAACAGCGCGGCAAATGAAGCCCAGCACAGCCCCGCCCCCCACCCATGCTTCGTGTGTCGAACGAACCACCACGAGATGTCAAGCGTAAAGCATATCTTTGGCGCCAAGGGTGTGCTGTGTATTCTGTGTTTCTGATGATATTGATGCTGGAGTGCTGACTGACATGCTGGAGTACCGTCAGTGCCTTACGTATAGACTATGTTGTTTCAAACCTCAAAAAAACATGCATGCCCGTGGTGCCTATTTCTTCACGATACCACTCTGTAGTTTTGTTTGTTCCTTCGAGGTGTACATTGCGTACCAGAAATAAGATACTACCCGCTACGCGCGTGCGGCGGCGCCGTCATCGACAGCTTGACCCCTATCCGGGTTGTTAGCTCGCACCAACCACCAAGGAAGAATACACCTTGCATTACCATCGGCGACCCCTATCCGGCTTGAAAACAACGCGCAACCTCCAAGAAAGGTATACCTTGCACAACCTGGCCATCGTTGCATTGCAAGGACTACCCAAGGTGGGGAGGTTGCAAATCGGGCCAAAATAATTGAAGATGGAGGTTGGCAATAATAGTGCTTCTACAACCTGGAGTGTTGGCCACCCGTGTAGTAGGTATGCATACGACGGTACGACCAAACCTCTTCGGCCTGTGGCTCGGTATGCACACACACAAATCGAAAATAGCGTAGACGAGGCTACACTAGTGGAGAAACATCTTAGTCCTCCCTTTGTCAGCTCTCACATCTCATGATTGGACTCTGGGAGGGGTGCACGAAGCACCACACCACCAGCGATGACACTCAAGCGTACATTTTAAGGACCGCAGCTATGTGCACCGCGACACGCACCGTTCATATTAAATCAAGCTCTCCAAGTGTACACTTTCTTTCCGGGCACCAGCTCACGTCCCATCAAAGCGGTCGAGAGACTTCATGCAGCAAAAGTAGTCGTATCCACTCCAAGTTGCGGCGGTGTGTTCAACAACACATCGCTGATTAGACTCAATTGACTGTTTTTACACCACAGCAGACCTTACCACCAGTGGACATCATTGCCCGCTTATGAAGTACTGCAGTTGCACGACAAACGCTCGATAATTCCGGCAAAGACGCGACGTCACATCTTTGGATACTTGACGGCTGCGCTCACGAGCAATCCGCAAGACAACGCGAAGGCGAGATACTTGGACGAAGGCAAATACCATGCCCGCCCGACCAAGTCTAGGCAAAAACACGCTCCTGCTGCCGCGAGTCCTCAAGGCGATTCAAAAATCGCGGTACACCAGTCCTGCATCGATTTTAACACCATAGAAGTATATTTAGACGTCACGGGTAGACTACGGACGTTCCACAGCAGTTCCACAACAAGCGTTCTTTACATTCGGCAAAGACGCTCAATTACATCTTTGAATACTCCGCGGCCGCGCTCAATAGCATCGATCAGGGAACGAAAAAGCTGGGTACGTGTTCCATCGGAGAGACGGCAAATACCGTGCCTGCCCGACCCAAGTCTACGAAAAATCACCCTTTTTAAGTACATAAAACTCCCTACTGGACTTTTTTTTTTCTGCTTCAAAAACATCCGATAGACCTCGCGAGTGGAGTATTGCCCCTGAACGCACTACTGCAGTTCCACAGCAAGTGCTCCTCAATACTTGAGGCAAAAGACGAGCCAGGTTTTCTTTGGATACTCCACGGTCGCCCTCAAGAACAACCAGTCAGACAAGGCGAAGGCTAGATACCTTGTTGTGCTTGTTTATTTGCAGTGACAAATGTGACAAAATAGAAAAACCATGCCCGTCCGACCGGGTCTACGCAAAGAGGCGCGACCGTGCACGACATCTCTTCACGTTATTTGTTTGCTGCAGACAGACTTACACGTACAGTAGAACGTACAACCGTTGACAAAACACACACGTCACGTTGGGATATGCGCCTTTTCCCCGTACAAAAACCACCATGCGAACATGGGGGTGGGGGGAAAACCGAACATGTTAAGGATGGTCGACAGCACTCTACCAACAGGAGTAAAGATGATCCAGGGCAGCGGAACGACCGCGCTGAAATATTTGAATGCTCCCCGGTTGACGGGGCATATGCATAGCAAAACACTCTTCAGAATAAAACATATAAAGGAAAGACACCACAGTCGCTAGGTGACGAATGATCCGGTGGTCGACGCATGCATGTAGTCCGCTTTCAGCATCCTCAAAGGCTCCGCTTCAACCATGTGCATCGCTGCTGCTGCTGCTGCTGCTACTGCGTTGCATCTACGCCAGCTGTAGACTTAGCCGTCGAGGTAGCAAGGAGCCGTCCCGGTGACTGAGCACGGCTGCCCGTAGTCCATGATCTGGATATGGCCAAACCAAAAAGAGAAGCAGCATTCGACGGAAAAAAATAGAGCGGCACGGAATAGTCCGGTTATACATGGGTACTCAGAAAAAACGAGGCCATGCGTACGTAGACCCGAGCGGTCATCGGTGTCGACAGCAGACAAAATGACGGTAGCACGTGTATCTGCATGCTCCATTTGGCGTTCGCCCCGTTGTCGCGACCAAACCCAACAGAAACAGGCGGGCTTGCAAAACAAACCACAGCTGTTCAAAAGTAAGGGAGACCCTACAGCCATGTAAGAGTTGCTTACCTCAGTGGTGCAGCATTCGTCAGCCGCGCCGCGCTCGTCGCAGCCCACACCCCCGCAGTGCCCGCAGCTGGCCGGACAGCAGACCTCGCCCATGGTAGACTCAACTCCGGCTACGCCGTTGGTGCACCACATGAACTGGCCCTTGAGCATGAACTGGTCGTTGATGTCTGCCTCCCAGCCGTATTCATACGAGTAGACCTTACCACCGTCGCCACTGCCACCGCCGCCGGGCATCACTGGCGCCTCAGTGGGCCCGTCCGTGGGGCGTGCACCGCCACCGTCACCGCCGCCACCGCGACCACCACCTCCACCACCGCGTCCGCCACCACCACCGGGTGTCACTGGCGCCTCAGTGGGCCCGTCAGTCGGGTAGAAGTCGTACGAGAAGGAGCCGTCGCCTCCACCACCGCGTCCACCCCCGCCACGTCCGCCTCCTCCACCACCGCGTCCGCCACCGCCACCGGGTGTCACTGGCGCCTCAGTGGGCCCGTCAGTCGGGTAGAAGTCGTACGAGAAGGAGCCGTCGCCGCCTCCACCACCGCGTCCACCCCCGCCACGACCGCCTCCCCCCCCGCGTCCACCTCCACCACCGGGTGTCACTGGCGCGTCAGTGGGCTCGTCCGTGGGGGTGTAGTCGTCGTCGCCGCCTCCGCCGCGACCACCTTCACCGCCACCGCCGCCGGGCGTCCCTGGTTCCTCCGTGGGAACAACCGGATCCAGTACCTCGTCTCCTGGATTCGAAGAGAACGAGTAGGACGGTGGCAAAAGAAGGGGTGGGTTCAGCTTGGATGTGGATGATGGACGCGGCTTAACGCAACTGTAGAATCTCGGTTACACATCCAGATTTGGGTATTGACAAAAAAACGATCCACACAAAATATATGGGTGAAAAAAAGTACCGCCAGTCCATTCTTGAATGGCCAAAAGGAAATTAATCGACCTGGCTCGACTCCCCCAACACAATGGCCTTATTCCTAATTGTTCTCAAAAGTGAATGAAATTGGTATGATGGAAGAGATCGGCCACCTTTACTCACCGTCGATGTAGCAAGGAGACGCTCCAGTTGCAGCGCAAGCCTCTCCCTCTTCCACGATTCTGTTTTGATCATGCCGTTAGGACCGGAGACGAGATGCAAAAGAGGGAGCGTGAGAACAATGTGGTTGAGTGGGCGGTTCTGTTCGCGAAAAACCTTGCAACTCCGCAGGTACCTGTGCAGACCTTAGTCCTTGCCACGATACATGAATGGGAGAAACAAGCCATTGGCAATTTTCAATGAGCTCGAGGGGCCTTGGGAACTCACTCGCTCTCGCAGCAGTCGTAGGACCCTCCCGGGCGCCGGCTGCAGCCAACCCCGCCGCAAGTTCCGCAAGTCAACGCGCAGCACGCTTTACCGTTGGGGGACTCGATGCCGTAAACACCGTTGCTGCATCTCTGCATGTCTGTTGCGGTCGGCGAGAGAGGAGAGCGGCAGCGTGAGGCGGGAGCGGTGACGTTCGATTGTCTTGGGAGCGGCGCTTTAATCGTTATTGCAGCGGGGGATCAAATGCTTTCGAATCGACTCACACGCGGAACTCGCTTGGCTCGCGCCAGATCCAACAATGGACGAAATCAAAAACATGCATTTGGTATTCGTCCAGTCAGCGCCTGCCCTGCTTCGCACTTCCATGCGCACGTCTGTCGTGTGAGCGCTTTCACATTTGAGAGAGAGCGCTTGAAAATGGATACCCCGCCTTTGAAAAAGAATTCTCAAGAAAGTCCTTGGNGCCACCACCACCGGGTGTCACTGGCGCGTCAGTGGGCCCGTCAGTCGGGTAGAAGTCGTACGAGAAGGAGCCGTCGCCGCCTCCACCACCGCGTCCACCCCCGCCACGACCGCCTCCCCCACCGCGTCCACCTCCACCACCGGGTGTCACTGGCGCGTCAGTGGGCTCGTCCGTGGGGGTGTAGTCGTCGTCGCCGCCTCCGCCGCGACCACCTTCACCGCCACCGCCGCCGGGCGTCCCTGGTTCCTCCGTGGGAACAACCGGATCCAGTACCTCGTCTCCTGGATTCGAAGAGAACGAGTAGGACGGTGGCAAAAGAAGGGGTGGGTTCAGCTTGGATGTGGATGATGGACGCGGCTTAACGCAACTGTAGAATCTCGGTTACACATCCAGATTTGGGTATTGACAAAAAAACGATCCACACAAAATATATGGGTGAAAAAAAGTACCGCCAGTCCATTCTTGAATGGCCAAAAGGAAATTAATCGACCTGGCTCGACTCCCCCAACACAATGGCCTTATTCCTAATTGTTCTCAAAAGTGAATGAAATTGGTATGATGGAAGAGATCGGCCACCTTTACTCACCGTCGATGTAGCAAGGAGACGCTCCAGTTGCAGCGCAAGCCTCTCCCTCTTCCACGATTCTGTTTTGATCATGCCGTTAGGACCGGAGACGAGATGCAAAAGAGGGAGCGTGAGAACAATGTGGTTGAGTGGGCGGTTCTGTTCGCGAAAAACCTTGCAACTCCGCAGGTACCTGTGCAGACCTTAGTCCTTGCCACGATACATGAATGGGAGAAACAAGCCATTGGCAATTTTCAATGAGCTCGAGGGGCCTTGGGAACTCACTCGCTCTCGCAGCAGTCGTAGGACCCTCCCGGGCGCCGGCTGCAGCCAACCCCGCCGCAAGTTCCGCAAGTCAACGCGCAGCACGCTTTACCGTTGGGGGACTCGATGCCGTAAACACCGTTGCTGCATCTCTGCATGTCTGTTGCGGTCGGCGAGAGAGGAGAGCGGCAGCGTGAGGCGGGAGCGGTGACGTTCGATTGTCTTGGGAGCGGCGCTTTAATCGTTATTGCAGCGGGGGATCAAATGCTTTCGAATCGACTCACACGCGGAACTCGCTTGGCTCGCGCCAGATCCAACAATGGACGAAATCAAAAACATGCATTTGGTATTCGTCCAGTCAGCGCCTGCCCTGCTTCGCACTTCCATGCGCACGTCTGTCGTGTGAGCGCTTTCACATTTGAGAGAGAGCGCTTGAAAATGGATACCCCGCCTTTGAAAAAGAATTCTCAAGAAAGTCCTTGGCCGAAACAGTACAATACAAATTCGAATGATCAAATTTGAATGATCGATTTGTCCCCAAATCTAGACAAGGGAGCGAGGCACCTCCGGCTATGAAGACAAGCGAAAGGGCCTTGCACGTTTAGTTGTTGTGCGCTTCAGAGAGTGAAGCAAGACTTACCGCTAATAGGGGCACGGTGCGGTCCAGGGACAGGCGAAGGTGGCGTGTACGAGGGTGGCGTGTAGACCGGCGCGTCTCCACGGTGGGTAGGTGCCGGCTCAGGGTGAGTAGGGGCAGTTCCCGGAGTGGGCGAACGTCCACCACCAGTAGGGGCCGAGTAGACCGGCGCGTCTCCACGGTAAGTAGGTGCCGGCTCAGGGTGAGTGGGCGCGGCTCCCGGAGTGGGCGAAAGTCCACCACCAGTAGGGGCCGAGTAGACCGGCGCGTCTCCACGGTGGGTAGGTGCCGGCTCAGGGTGAGTAGGGGCAGTTCCGGGAGTCGGCGAACGTCCACCACCAGTAGGGGCCGAGTAGACCGGCGCGTCTCCACGGTGAGTGGGCGCGTCCCCGGGAGCGGGCGATCCTCTGCCACCGTCGTGGGGAGCAGGCCCGGGCACAGTCGGAGCTGGAAACAGCAGATCGGTGGAGGGGGGGGGG